ACCCACTACTGATCTCTTGCTAGGTCACTAGAGGCAGGATATCAGAGAGGACAAGAGTGGAGGGGTGGGCAAGGACCTTGACAGGTCTGAAGAAATATCCCTGACAGTAAGACTACAATGTAAATAGTGCCACTTATTCCTTAATAATGATAGGACAAATGTATGAAACAAAGCCAGTATAAGTACAAAACTCTGTCATTTTGCATCTTCACACAACTGAATCTTCAAGGCAATCTGCCTAACAATCTTATATAAAATGGTTATTTGGGAAAACAAATTAAAATACAGTTGACCCTTCAGCACGCAATGTCATTAAGCAATTAATATTGCCAATAAAAACCAAGCTTCATTGGAAAAACTTGCAAACGAAGTCATTAACTTGATCAGCAAGGGAAGATTTCCACTTTGATGCTTTTATACTCTCTCTATTATCAGAACAAGGGTATGTCACCTTCAGTTAGTCATGTACATGACTGTGTCATCATCAGAAAGTTACACACTTATTGCATTCATATATAAAAAAAAAACTCTGTGGTTTTAATCTGCAAGCAAACTATACCAACTGAGCAACTACCACTTGTCAGTGAAGTTAGTGCCAACTTTAGTGGATAATGGTGTCACGAGGTCAGTGCAACAAATCTCCACAGCTGTTAATTTCAGTTTTCTAGACTGGAGTCTCTATTTCCTTGAAAAAGCTCCTCAATTATCCTCACGAGGCTGAGTGGACCCCGTTCCAGACCCATTACTTCTCAGAAAATCTGGTAGCGCCGGGAATCAAACCCAGACTTCTGACAACTAGATCACAGAGGTGGTCTCGCATTCATATGCCAGTACAAAATTCAGACATACTTATACAGGACATTTCTTCAAGTTTGCATACACAAGGTATGATGTACCCTGGTTCATGGAGTAGATGGACTTCATTACTGTACAGGTTAGCTCAACAGTAACGTATCTGTACTATATCCAGGAGTCCTGGTTCAAAACTAAATCAGGAGACTGACTGACTTAGGTCTTCCATTTCCACCTTTACGTGGCTCATGTCACTGACTTAGGCCATCTTACATTAGGTACAAGGGAACCCCCACAATCCAAAGAATATCCAGCAGGTTTTACATACCAAAATTACTTTAGGCACACTCCATTCTCTGAGGCCATTTTTACCCGCATCATTTTCACACTTTTTCAGCCAAGAATATCATGTCTGAAAGTTGTGCATAAAACATGTGAATATTACTTTTTAGAGTATAATTTAGACTAATTTAGATAAAGTATGCAAAGTAGTGCCTATGGACTCAGCTACGTGTTGCTGCTTAACACTGAGACAAAAATGTCGCTTGATAACATTTTGGCTTAATGTTTGTGGATCACATGACTAGTTAATGGGTTCCATCTTCTGGGATATAATGCCATGCAGTCTCCTGAAAATCAACTGATGTTTCAGAGCAAGGGTATGGTCTTCTGCATTGTAACACTGGAGTTTGAAGGTAATACATTCCTCTGAACTACACGGCATTACAACTCATTTAAGTTAGTAAGAACTAAGCATGTCAGTTGTCACCATGACATGATGTGTCCTCAGCTTGCAGATGGTGAGGTAAGAGAAAGTGTATGTGTGTGTTCGTTTAGAGGCATGTCAGTTTTATACTAACACATAAAATACAGGGTGTTTCAAAAATACAAATCATAACTTCAGGAATGAGTTCCTCATATGTTCAAAATAAAAATAATTTATATCAACATAGGTACAGAAATGCATAGTTTCTGAGTTAAGGCTTTGTAAAACCACTGAATGATAAACAGAATTTCATAACCCCCTGGATGGTTTCTGTCATTCACTACATTATGGTAGTCAGGATATCAGTCCAACACAATCCTGGAAAGTTTCCAAATCATAATATGAGAACTGTACAGTAACTGTGTGTTACATGTGTGGTGATTGAAAATTGTTGAGATGATGTACTCAAATCAAGAGCTAGCTGATCTGCATTTCATGTATGGTTTGGCAAACGGTGATGCTGTTGTGGCTCATTTATAACAAGTAAGGTATCCAGGATGAAGATGTCCAGATGGGAAAACATTTGTAAGTATTCATTACCGCCTTTGTGAACATGACAATTTTGCACCTAATGTTGCCAACAGGGGATGACCAAGATCTATGACTCCTGAAGAAGAGGATACTCTGGATGCTGTGAATGAAACTCCTGGAATCAGCACACGAAGGGTATCAATGCAAGTGTGTGTCACTCATTTGACTATCTGGAGAGCATTGCGAGAACAACAGCTGTATCCCTACCATCTGCAGAATATACATGCCTTGTCACTATAAGATTACACTGCACAAGTAATGTTCTGCCAATGAGTCTTACAACAGTGTGGTACAAATCATAACGTCCCTGCTTTTGTGATATTTATGGAGGAAGCACAGTTCACAAGAGAAGGAATCCAGAATTTTCACAACAAGCATCTGTGAGCAGATGAAACTCCAGATGCAATTCTTCCAGCACATCAACACCTGGGACAGTATTTGTGGTGATAATGTATTCAGACCCTACGTACTTACAAACAGGCTTATAGGCTGGAATTACTAAGCTTTCTTGGAAAACATCATGCTTGGTTTCTTGGCTGATGTGCCACTCATCATTCGTCGAGAACTGCACTTCATGCATGATGGCGCTCCTGCACATTTCAGTCTCGGTGTCTGCAGGTACCTGAATCGAAAGTTTCCTGGTTGGTGGATAGAGGTAGTGAACCAACTGCCTGGTCACCATGCTAATCTGATTTAAATCCACTGGATTTCTATTTGTGGGGCCACTTAAAATTGATGGTGTATTCATCTCCAGTGGATGATGTGGAAACTCTCCAATATCAAATTATGGCAGGTTTTCAGACAATATGCAACATGCCAGGAATTTGTGATCATCTTTGGATGGCAATGAGACACTGAGTGGAGGCCTGTATTCAGGCAGGAGGTGGATATAAGGAACACTTACTGTAAGGTAATGTGAAGAGCTGAGTATCATAGACATACCTTAGAAACTCAGAAACTATGCATTTCCAGACCCATGTTAATATAAACTATTTTTATTATCTACATCTGAGGAACTCGTTTTGAAGTTATGTTGTGTATTTTTTAAACACCCTGTAGAGTACAATTATGGTATATAAGTTGCAGCCCTTGAAGAAAGCTGGCACAGAGATAAAAGGTAAAATTGCAGACTGTGCACAAATGATGAGAGAAAGTACAGACTGTACAGGCTTGTCAAGGATGCCCTAAAAACAAAACCAATAAAATTACACTGAGACAGTGAGTTTGTGTCAGAAGACAGAATGTACGTTTATTTTAAAATGGAATAAAATAGAGTGTCAGCTAAACAGATGCAGTAAGCATCATACCATTAAGAACGCCATAATGGTAGATAAACTGTGCTCATCACCTCCAAGAAAGTCAATATAGACCACAAGAAAGGTAATTACAACACAAGGTCAGATTTACATATCAGGCTATGTACTTTTCCATTCTATAGCAATGCACTCCACACCCCCAACTTTTTTATTTCACATCCACCTACCCTTGTATTAGCCTGAAGATGGTAATTAAAATACAGACAAAAATGCTGAAACAATTCAACATATGCCATTACTAAACTCTGAAGGCTAAAACTACACAACTTTACATTTACCTTCTGCATCCCCTATTCAGGGTAAAGTAAACCCATGCTAATCCAGTTACAGCTTCTCCAGATCAAAACATGAATGAAAAATTAAAAATTCTGTTCACGATTGAGTACATATTTGAAAAGACATGGGACTCAGGAGCAAGAGGACTTTCAGACTGTGCTGATGGGAGCTGGAGAGACTGACACCATGCAAGAATATAACTAAGACTGGCTTGAGCACGATGAGGGAGACACAGGATTTCTAGAGGAAGAAGTTGCTGCCATGATACTTTTTTATTTATTTTCATCAGCACTACCTATATTATTAAATTTTCCATTTGCTTTCTAAGTCTGTTTTGTCTTTTAGGGTCATTTTTTGGTTCATTAATCCGGATTAGCGAGGATTTACTGTACTTCCGTAAAGCCAAGCCAAACTCAAAACATCAGGCTACAGTCAGAGATATTGGGTTTTCGGACTTTATCCATTGTCCTGAGACACGATTTTCAGTTGAACGGTTATCCCAAAGGCTTCATTGACTCGGTCATTAATTCAAAGGGCAGTAGTCATCCGAAGAAAGAGGAAAACCCTCTGTGTTCTGTATATATTCCATATGTGAAGGGTGTTTCTGAAAAGTTTAAACGGATAGGTAATCGATATAATATTAGGACCATCTTCTGTACGAAACACACTCTTAGGAACTCCCTTATGAAAACCAGACCGAAAAGAGATCTGCAACAGATGGCACAGTGCATCTATAGCATTCCCTGTGAATGTGGCAGAAGCTATATTGGCGAAACAGGCAGACCTCTGGCCATGCACCTCCGGGAACATAGGCATAACCTCAAAGGTCTTCTAGAAAAATCTAAACTAGCTCAACATGCCTATGAAGAGGGACATAGAGTAGGCTGGGATGAAGCTAAGATTTTGGATATTGAAAGACACATCAGGTATAGGAAATACAAGGAAGCAGCCCATATGGCATGCTCGGCCAACGCAATTAGGACTTTTCTCCCATTTGGATCCCCATTATCAGCAATGAAGTCACCAATTCACATAAAAGATCTGTATGATGTGATATATATTTTTATTGATTTCTATTAGGTTCTAAATTAGATAGACGTGATTTATCACCCATTGTTGACGCTAGTTAGACACTATTAGTTTTTTTACTAGTTCTCCTTTCTATTCCATGCCATGGGGTCATGGATCTGGTTATTAGTTTGGTTTCGTGACAAATTTTTACGGCTCTATCTATCCTGGTTCCACGCTTGTACGTGTTTGGAACAACTTGTTATGTATATTTTTCTTATTAGCTCTCATGGTCTTCTTAGTTATCTTAAAAACCAGGACGATGGATAAAGTCCGAAAACTCAATATCTCTGTGTGTTATACACCATCGTCAGAATCCTATAGTACCTATAGGCTGCAGTGTCTTCCTATAATTTAATCACCAACACTATACTCCAACAACCTCCTCACATACTCTTTCCACATTTAAGATTAATATCTGTTATCACAGGTTACTTCTGAATTCTAAATTCAGAATTCAGTATTCAAATCAATTATGTTTATATACCAGTTTGCTACCAGTATTTGCAGATTTCCTGAGGTTTCATTTACTGAAAGTATAAATGCGGCTGACGTATAGCATCAGCCATTGTTACTGTTTTTCCAAGACTCTTACTTAGATAAACATCCTTTCTCAGCCACTACACAAACAAACATTTTTACTGATGTAAAATCATTCTGCATGAAGTATTACCCACATTCCTACCTGAGGGCTTTCATGGCGAGATGCTTCAGATGATGTGTGGAATACAGTTAGTACCCTTATCCTCCTACAAAGTTGGAGATAACACTGCTAACTTGGCAAAATAATACTTTCAGTAGTTTCATGGAATGCTTTATGTGGGTAGGATATGCTTCTGTTATGTCAAAAAACAATACTGTCATTTCTCAATATTAACCAATTTGATATGAATACAAATTTAACACTTTAAGGAAGTATCCATCATCTGCACACCACAAATAGTATTCTGCATGCAAATGTATGTTATCTAAAGGCTTCACATTTGTACAGTACTTTCCATGGAACTGTACAGATAACAAAATGTTGCACTCATACAACAAAACCAATATTTTGTTTTTTCATGACTCACGAAGTACCACCTAATACGAACTTGGTGACAATCCCAATCACTGAAGACACATCTATATAATTTATAAGATAGACTATTAAAGGTGCTATTAGTTTGTGATTCTAAGTTACACAAGGGTGAAACGTGGTTAATTAGAGCTTTTTATAGAACAGAAACCTCTAGTGATAATAGAATACAAATACAATTCATTACTAGTTTCATAGTGGTTTTCTGAACTCCATCTTGTGCTAACCAATGTGTAAGCAACCAACACTGAGCACACAGCCAGCTCAACTGCCACGTTCGTAACGTTCATAGGAGGAGCCATCATGTGCCTTCATCTCTTGTTTACTTCAGTAACAATGTCCATAACTAGCCCCATATAGTAGTGAAATCATGATCATGAATTACAATATACACAGCAAATATTAAATAATTACAGTCATTTCACTCCAAATTAATAATATTTGGTCCCCTGCAAGGCAAATTAATAAGGTTTCTTTGGTACAGAATGCTGTGATTCTTAGTGGCATGTATCCAGGTAGTAGATGACAGGATATAACAGCCTCTTTACAATTACACTATACACCTGGTTATGTATGCATAATTTAAATTACAAGAAGAGTTGGAGAAGAAGAACTTACAGATTTTTTATGTTTTATAACATGTTTATTCAATATGCAAGGATATCAGAATAGAAATTAAGTTTCCATAATAAATATTTGTGCTTAAAACTGTAGTTTGTATTGGATTACTTAGCCCTTCACTCCATACAGATCCATGGAAAGAACTGCATGGTGGACAGATTTTTGAAACCCCCGTTTTTCAAGTAATCGTTTAACCATTATTGGTGTAGACACAGCCTTACCTTCAGTTCTACAGAGAACTGTTTCTACAATATATACAGGTGGGATAAGAGCTAAATCACTGAACATCACCGTTCATTATTTCTTCCTAAGTACCTCATGGCTTCAGCCACTGATCACCTACGTTTAAAGGTTACCAACCAGTACATAAGTTCAACAACACTCGCCATTTATTGCCTCTGCCTTCTCAACTGCTGCGGGAATGGATTCCTGAGTCTTTGATTGTAAACACGTGCCCAATAAATCTGGGCAAGGAATTTCACCAGTTTGTATCCCATGAATCTGGGTCAACAGGTCATAGTTTATACGTTCGCTCACCACAGAATCATGTCTGAAAATGCAAAGAGATACGTGAGTGGACAAAATTTACATACTTCGTATACTAAACTGTAGAGATTAAAATGTGGAAAATCAAAGGAAGTAATCACAACAGTACTACGAAGTTTCAAGCAGCATGCTACCAAGAATTTGCTGCAGTCATAACTTATTGCAATTCTCACACTTTCACTTTATCTGTCTTGCTGGGCACATCTGAATAAAGTTGCATTTAACATTCATCACCGATTTAAAAGTACAACAGAGAAAATTTATATAGTTTACACTTTCTCACAAATGCAGTACATATGAGAATGTTCTGACAGACTCTGACAACTGCAATTAAATTTCAGTACTTTATGTAAACCATCCCCCTAAATAAAACTGCATAGGTAGTATTTTCAGGAAAATAAAGCTATGCCCTCTATATGAGCAATTATCTGCAGGGTCTTAGCACCAATTATTCTTATTCTGGGCAAGCTGTTCTTGTGGTAAGTCACAACCTGAAGCAAAATCGATCAACATGTTCCAGACAAGTGAAACTTGTACTGACAATCATTAATTCTTATTCATGTTTATGGGTTGAAAAATAATGAATGTTTCCTTCTAATTTTAAACCAAATCAGATAAATCTGAACTGTTCTTTCAAATATCTGAAACAGCAATTTCACTATACCATGAATAATATGTCATTAATGATCTAAGACACAATAAGAAGCACATCTTTTTTTGTGTTTTATTTTACAATTCTATCAGCATCTAGTTTATATAGTATCAAATGGTAGGATGACTGATGAGTAATTAATCAGAAAGGATCTGGAAGGAAGTAGAGATAACCTAATGGAAGCACTATCCTGGTATTTGCCTTGGAGGGGGCGACTGAGTAAAAACAAAAACAAAAAAAAAGTCTCAGTATAGCTGGTGTCCCAGTCAAAAATAACATATGCAATGTGCCTACCTGTAGTCTGGGTGTGACTGGACAAACTGCCTCATCCACCTCGCTGTGGTCTGCAAGTCACCAGATGCTCTTCGCTGGATCAATTTCAAATACTGCTGGATGGTGCAATGTGTGTCCGCATCAACATCCATCCCACTAAGGTAACTGTTGATCAGTGGAATAAGTCCAGGAAATTCATCTGTCTGAAACAACAACAACTTGTACCATGCAAGCAACACACTAGAAAGGCTTCCTTTATAAACAGTGGTGACGACTGCTACAGGAACAACAGTCTATTTTCATTTCTCAGTCACCGTCTCACATGCAAACTTGTGTTAAAATCTTAAAATTCAAGTTTTTTAATTTTAAAATTATTTTTCATATCACTGGTGAACTACATGCTTTGATAAATACAGTCATTATCAGGTGTTTAAAAAAATTGCTGTGCTTCCGTCAATGAATACGATTCCAAAGTAAACTCTTATTTATGCACCCATGTGTTGTATGCTTGTAGTGCTGGGTGATTCCTTTAATGTGTTGTGTGCAGCCATTATCTGTTATCTGTATATGGAACGTAAGAGCAACTGCCCAGCACTACAAACATATTGAGCCATATTTTCTATTCAGACGGCTTAGGAGTTGCCCCTTATTGCCCAGTATCCTCCCTCCCCCCCTTAGCATCCATGCTGTGACTCGGTTACCGTTATGCCATCATTCCATGTACCATGTGATTTCCTCTTTCCTCCCTTGTTTAGAAAAGAAAGGCTTCTGTCAGTGTGGGCAGTGATATGAGGGCAGTGCTTGCTTACCAACAGTTGGGAGAATTAGGCTGATAAATTCTGTTTCAACTGGTCTTTCGAATTGCGTTTAGACTCTTCGCTCCAGCCACAGAGGGCATGGGGTCTCCTCATTGCAAAAGAATCTAAATTTGTTGACTTTGGCATGTTGTAACAAGAATTTTTGTTTGGTTATTATATTATTATTTGTTTGGGCTTGTTACTGCCCCATGCTGTTTGACCAGAAAATGGGGTAATATTGCAATCAGAGTTGACTTGCAATGTTACACGAGTTTTGGTCATTTTCTAGGTCTAGGGTAGGTAGACGACTCCATGTGGATACTTTATGTACTTTTTTTTTTTTTTCTTGGACCATTTGGTTTCAAAGGCATATTTGAAGTACTGAAGTAATTGTTTGAGGCCTACTTTTTATACTCTTGCTGTTATTGTAAGTCATGAATTTTGGTTTAACTGTTATTAAATATTTGTTCTGGAGATTCAGCCTTTTCTTGCTGACAGATAAGCTTGGACACCCTATTCCAGCTGTGCAGCACCGTGAATGCAACAAGTGAACTAAGAATAAATGCAGCTACCATCCCCAGACAGCAGTCATGGAGAGTGGATAAAAGAGGGCAGGAGCTGCAAACTGGAGCCATCTACATCCCAGAAAACAGTATTCATCATGATCACCACTGTCATAATCTCAAATCTGTAACATCTCTTCTCTTATCATCATATTTATACCGCTATTTTTTATACAAAACCAAGAACCTAACCTTGTAGACTTCTTGTTCGAGGTATTCTATTGTTATGCTTTGGGTCCTGTTTTACAAATAAACTTCTAAAGTTGGCAGCACTACTGTAGCAGAAAATAGTACATTTTTAAAGTTACTTGGGTCCCTTGTTAAGACCTACATATCTGATAATATTAGTGCACTTCTCAGTTCCACTCAGCATGACTTCACTTTCTACTGTACATAAAGCCCATCTACTCTGTGCATGTCACACCTTGTGTACACAACCTTACAGAAGACAAGTCCTGTGCGTGTATGTTTGAATATTACATTGATGTATGAATACTGGAAGTGTGTGGAAAACAGAATGCAGTAACTTTCTAACAGTGTCACGAAGGCATATGTCAATGACAACGACACACTTTCATTCCCACAGTAGCTGGCGTACAAAAGCTATAGAATAGAGAGCGAGTTACCTTGCCATTGATGATCTGGTCAATGGTCATAGGAGTATAGACATCACAGCAATCACTAGTCTGGCAGCAAGATGTTGCAGCAGGTGGAGAGACACAGGTTGTGATATCTTTGCGGAAGTAGAATTCCTCCTGACGAAGCGCATCTCGTTTTTGAGCACGCTTCATATTTTCATCAACCTGCAAGTGGTAAACATTACTGCTATTCCAAGGATAGTACTTGGACCCAAACCAGGTGAAGCACAAAGTGCTTATAAGAAGTCGCAAGAAGAGAAGCTCTGTAATTCAGCTCAATATTGTGGCATGCAGACCTGTTGCTAGGCAAAGACTGTGAAATAAGCAGCTATAAAATAGCTGATGCTAAGTAACGGCTCTGTAAACAATGGCCGCTGGTAGGTGATGGCTGCAACAGACACGTACACAACAATAGAGCAGCTGTTGCTTCTCTGTGCCGTCTGTGCCGAGGCGATATAATGAGGGCCAACCGTCATTAGAAGAGTCTCGAGATGGCAGTGAGAAGAGTAGGAGGTTGGCATGAGATGGCCACAGGTGTGGGAGTGGAGTCGGTTGGTTGGCAAGTGAGCGAGTTAGTTAGAAGACTGCTACAGTTCAGTCCTTGTGAGTTGATGTTAGAAGCTGGTAGCTGAGGCACTGGGACAGTTTGGAAACCCAGAGGAAGGGGAAGCCGTTGCCAGACAAGACCGGTGAAGATACAGCTGGTTGCGAAGATTTAAGTGTGTGCTGTAGTGAACTGTGGAGTGCATGAATTAGTGACAGCACTGTAGTTACTTGTAGTAACATTCTGCAAGTGTCCCATATTGGCAAATAATCCAATAACAAGTGACATATTCATGTACTGATTGCCTGATGATGACACAGTAAGGTCGAAACACGTAGCAATATCTCCTCACAATAAACGAATACTAATATAGTAATACTGATTTGTTTATTATAGAACTGTAATGTTGACAAATACATTAAAAATGTCATATATAAAAAAATGTGGTACTTGATTTTTTCATGGAATTTCTTGATTAAATATAGGGGCGCATAAATTATATGACTGAATGTAATAATACTTTATCAACAAAGTAAAATGTATCAAAATAATCCTTAAAATTAATGAAACTGGACTAAATAAAAATGGCTTCCTTTTCACAGACATCAGCCCCAGAGTTTGAGAGCTGTTACTTGTGAATGTGATCAAAATTCATACACATTCTTCACCAATTCATTTTTCAAAATGTATGTGAAAACACAGTTCTCAAAGGAATAATACAATCTTAATATTAGTGGGTTTCATACATTTCAGTACATACAACAGAACCAAGTCTAACCTTGCTGATAGGTATGATGAAGTTAAGTTGATATGACAGGATCACCCTGGTGAGAAGCACAACAAAGCACACGATAGCTGCATTTTCAAAGTCTGTGATCTGGACTTCACAAGGTCGGAATTCCACCCTCCAACCAATAGGAGAATTGGGAGGTGGAGGCTTGAACCTCATTGTCTGCCAATTAGTTGACTGAATGTTCTGTAAGACGATATAAATATCTATTACATAAAATAAAAAATATATGTATGACAAGGCCTGCACAAAACTCTCATAAATCTAGCAGCTAGGATAAACAAAAAAATATTGCATCTCAGGTGAGAAATTTACTAATTCTTGTTAACCAAAGGACAACAGAGCAACTAGTCCTTTCATGGTCAGGGAAGGCCCAACATGACATATCAAGGAGGATATGGGAGATAAAGGAGATGAAGTAAGGGGGGAGACAGCAATAGCAACAGGACAGACAAATGAAACTGATGGGAAAGCAAGGGAGAAAGGAAGGACATGGTTGCAAAAGGGATACAGAATAGAAGAAGTCCATCACCTTTGACAGGTCATGCACTAGTATAAATATATTAGGAAGAAAGTTCTGCATGCCATCATGAAAATTTTAGGTAACCTGGCACCTGGGATTTATGAAGGTCAGTTTAATTTAAAATTAAATTTTATTTTGTACATGACAAAGGAAAATTATAAATTACAGAAAAGGACAATGCTATGCAAAAAGACTAAGATCAATACAAAATACTTCATGGAGAGAACAGTCAAATGTTTCTGAAAATCAATAATGGAAAAACGTTATGTATGTAATTTATGATGTTCAATAAACTGTGTGGCATTGAGACACTTACTAAACGTCAAAGAAAATGAACATATTTCCGAAATGCTGGCTAATTAGTTGAAGGTCCAACTTAATTTGTCTATCCAATTAAGTATCTGTCAAACTGAAGATGAAAGACCTAAAAATGAGAACATTAAATAGGGGTTCTACTGCACCTGAAACCATTTCTGAATATAAATATACTTTTGCACATACAGAGCCCATAGTGTGGCTTACAACTTTGTTTGGATGCAACCATACGAACATGCTAACTTCATCTTCAGGTTAGCTACCAGAATTCAAGGCATCGCCTCTCAGAACGTAGCTATCGTGACATTACCTGACATGAAAAATACGTGGGTCATTTATAAATAATGCACAGGTTGGCAACACTGCAGATTAGATGATATAACAACAGTGAGCCTCACGTCAGTTACAGTTCAGGACTTGAGAAAGAAGCGCATTATTTTGTTTCATTTATAATGTACTCTGTTCTTAAATAACGTGAGTTAGAAATGGAGCCTGCACGGTTCTCAGGTACTGTGACTATTGAAGATCAAAGGTCGTACATTAAGATCGAAACTTTACGTGGAAAAACCCCGACAGAAATCCACAGTGCTTTAAGTGAAGTTTGTGGCGAGTTAACAGTGGACTGTAGTACAGTTTCTCACTGGGCTAGCTTTTTTCGAGGCGGTCGTGTGAGCATAAACGATGATCCAAGGCCAGGAAGGCCGAGATCATTAACAGATGAACGAAGTGTGAAACGTGTGTCAGATGCTCTTGAAGATCGTCGTGCGACATGTGAGGAACTTTCTGAAACAACGGGGATTCCACCAACGTCAATATTCCAAATTCTGACAAATGATTTTAAGAAGAGAAAGATTTCTGTGCTATGGATCCCTCACTGCTTGACTGCTGAAAAGAAGCAGAAACGCCTCGACATTGCAACCTTGCTGAAACAAAGATTCGACATTGAAGGTCAAGCATTCTTGTATGAACTTGTCACTATTGATGAAACGTGGGTTAGAGACTTTGCTGACAAAGAGAATGATGGTGATAACAAAATGCAACAGTAAAAGCATAACAAGAATCCTCAAACAGAGAGAGACACTGCATTCCCATATTCACATTTGTATTTTGTCTGAGACAAAGGATGGGAAAGGCGCTCAAAATATCTATACTGGATGCTGTGAGAAATTTATGGCATGATATTCTAGCCCCTCTCCTCTAAGCCACAAAGTTCTCAAACATATGAAAATATTTATGTGGTTAGTCATGCATAAACTCTTCATGCTTGTATGACTTAAATACCTACAATATCAAGTCTATTTAGACATACCTCAAAATGGTCTGTGTCCTGTTCGTCATCCTGGTTCACCTTCTCACTGAATAGAGAAACAGAGTCACGTATAAACAGATGTGCAATGTGCTGTGCTAGCAGGTGATCAATATCTGCATCACGCAGCTGCTCGTATATGGCCTTGTCATATATCAAAGGCACATCATTGTATCTGTAACAACCAATATAACAGATCTGAATTTACAATGATTACCAACTACTGAGAGAAAGTACATATGTTATACTATGAAGAGAGTGATCTTGCGTATTGTAACACTGTGTGATTTTGTAGAAGTCCTCCTACATTCTGGAGAGAAGTACCACCTTATCTTCAGTGTGGAGGAGTAAGGAATGCAAGAAACCAGTAACAAGAAGGCAGTTCCTATAAAATATCAGTAGATTTCTACTAAAATACATGGCATTATAACATAGAAGGCCTCATTTTTCATAGCCATAACTGTGAGAATCTCAAAATCCAGCACGTTACACTGTCTTTGCTACAGCTACTACTGCTTTCTTGTATCTCTGCATCGACTAATACACATGTGCATGACCTAATCCTTCCAGCCACACTATGGCCCAGGAGTCAACTCAGCCTCTAACAGAAATAAGTACCATGAATCTTCCTGGGGGTAAAGGGCAACTGGCGTGTAAGGCTGACAACCTCACTGCCGACTGTGAGCCTACTGTCTAGAAAATGTAGAAGCCTTGACGTCTCACAACCCTATGGGTCTCCATGGCCTGTTACAGGGACATCTATACCTTTACCTTTACAAGTATTCAAATCTGTACAAGTGAGTCAGCCAAGTGTAAAATGAGTGATAATTCTTGGGATGTTTCTCAGAATGTTGCTTACTTTAAAAATGGCTTTCTGAACACACATGAGGATCACTGAAACCATTTACTGTTGATAATAATTAAATGAAGCTTATTTCTGGCTTACTCTTTGCCCCTCATGACAGAGGCGATATGTTCTTTATAAAGCCAAAAATTATCAGTCCCCCTCGTAGTATACACATGCTCTGTAGCTGATCAGAGTTTGATTTCAATGAAACCAGAGTGACTGAACCAGGTGCACCAGTAACACAATTTCTGAGACTCTGCAGGTATTCCAACTTTATATTAGTATGACAGACAATGAGTGGAAATAGAAACGTACACATTTTATGAAACACCGTAGGAACTGGCTTCCATTCTCACTGTATTCCAATGTATTTAAATTTTTACTAATATTGTAAAATTTATAAAATAAATATTTATGGATCATTGGATTATTTATCTTGAGATACCTGTATCATATGAAACTGTATTTTGAAACTATTATTTTTTACAGCTATATCGCAAAAAGGGAAGAAACACAAAACATATGAACATTTACTGATATATTTTTAGTGTTATATCTAACAACATGGAGATACACAAGATATGACCATTTAAAATGCACTGATGTTGACCTCAAATACTGCACCGATTACTGCACAACAGCAATTGTAATCTTGATGTACTCATCACATGGATGTCTCAACCAGTCTTCTCTTCTGGAACAGGATACTAACTTGACGCTGATCATTCTGAGCCCTTATTTATTTGGACGACCATGAAATTTATTTCTAATTAATTCTCGGTAATTTAAATTTCAAAAGTCTTATGTTTCGATATTACTGGAAATGTATCGTGATCTATAATATCGTATTTCATCGTCTGGGACGTGCAATACGGTGTTTACGTTGAAAATTTCTAGATTCTGGCAGAAACAAGAAGTCCGGAGTTCCGACATTAACGATCAGTCATAAATTTAGCTCGGGTACAAGGAACCGGTTGCGCCTAAAAGGACAGGTCAGAGCTTGTTACAATTGCCTGTGAATGAGGGCCAGTATGATTGGGTTGCCTCGTTCAAGCTTCCTACGGAAGAGGGGATGAAAATGTATATGTCAACACCATCTTTCGAATTCCCGGCGTGGGGGTGCAAGCCATTCCACAAAAAGGGAGACTTTCACAATATTCTGAACTGAACGGACGTGACCCTTGCACGCTCCCGGACATAGCTAGCCGATAGTGTAACGCTGTAACTTAAAGCTAAGAATACATTAATTTAACAGTGTGGTGAATTAGCAGGTGAATAAACGTCAATTGGCTCAACTCTCAGAAAAACGCTTTCTTCGGCATCGCTACCCTGAGACTCATGCAAACCGACCCAGCTAGTTTCCCGTACCTATACCGATCTTCCTTAGTTTGATCTGTGAGGACAACTTCCAGTAGCCATCATACACTGTCCTAAGGTAGAAACAGGTGTAGCAGGGATAGCACCATTCCGACTGCGCCGAAACAAGCAAAGGCGGGTTGGAAAAGAGCGGTGTTAAACTATACAAATAAACATTTACCACTCCATTCATAAATTATTCCGAACTATTCTCAATATGCCAAATTTTATGGTCTAAGACATCATGCATGTCAAGTTCTTTTTTATGGCCTAACCTTAAAACTGTGGAAGTCATGACACTGAAGAAGGAGTAAAAATGAAGGAGATAACGGAGGAAGTAGTGGTGGTGGCAGCAGCAGTAGCAGCAGCAACAACAGCAGTGTAATATAGTGTATTATTAAAAGAGTGAGCAAAGACTGTAAGATGGGAAAGGGTACCAGAAGTCTTCCTGGGGGTAAAAGATGACCAACTTGTAAGGGTGACAACCTCACCGCCATCTGTGAGCCGATGGTCTAGAAAATGTGGGAACCTTGACCTCTCACAACCCTATGGGCCTCCGTGGTCTTTTGCAGAGATAGCTTTTACCTTTTACACTACACTCAAAGACTACACCTAACAGGTACACACTGACACATGCTTGGTTTTGATCACAGACCATGGGCTGGTATATACAGTGTGTGACACTTTACGGGAATTTGAGTTATGCGAATCTGAAATAGTGCAATATAAAAAATATTAATAAAGTCTCACTTTACGCAGAAAGTTACAAATAAAGTGAATCCCCCAAAAATGGGCAAGAATCATGTATGCATTTCAAAACTTGTCTTGAACATATGATTTATGAATTATGCAAGATATTCAGAAATGCATTATCACCTAAAATGAACCCGCACTATCCATGAGAAGGTCTGGATCCAATGTCATATTAGATCCTGGTATTGGGAACAGAGTTCATCCCTGAAACATGCATGGCTTTTAACCAACCAACATGGCTAACAGCCCAAGAAGATTTAATTAATTTTATGTACATAAAATTGTGAAGACATGAAGATATTTTGTATCATCGCAAGTTTTCCCATATAGTTCTCCAAGACAACCAAATGTCAGTATTGGAACATTATTGATACCTGCCAGATTTTACCCATTGAAATGTTCTCATGCTATGAAAATTGAACATTTCATGCAAAAACTCTCATTTTAAAAAGTAATACATTAACAGCGTCTTTATGACAATCTAAAATAACTTCCAGAAAATGATTTCAAGCACTTCTTTTGAGAATGAACAAGTACTGCTGAGCTGCATGTATAAAATAGAAAGGGTAGTACACTGCAAGTTACCACATCCACTGATGGTTAGAGACATATTTAAATTATTTACACAATTCATCTTGTTACTCAAATGTGAGGACTTTGTACTTCTGTGATCAAGGGACTGTGCACATACCATGGATCATAATACAATATTAATGTCATGGGAGTCATAAAATAATACTGCGTCACCAGCAGTATTCCTCATAATTTTGTCATGTAACATCATTACCTAACACTTAAAAGACTTTAACCCTTACATAATGTCAACAGTGTTTTATTTACAGGGACAGACAATATATGACAGGGAACTTACTACTTTTAAAATACAGAAGATAAACATCTGATAACACTGGATACTTTTATTAGATAGCTCATGAGTCATAAGGCCTTCTTACAATTTTTATGTGAGTCTATCATTATAAGTTAATTTACTTTGGATTTCCATAAAATTAGCCATTTTAGGTGGGTCCCTTGTCACAACAGCACGGTGTGACCTCAGGTTGCAGATGGAGGAGATGGCCTCCAGATATGCAGAGTAGCTGCGAATATACTGAATAAGCAGTCATGAACAGCTGACAAGGGGTGGTCCTCTGTTGGGCATGAGGCTAACAATTCCTTGCCATAAAAAATAATACAACTTATTTATTAGACCGTCACAACAAAACAATTAATTGTTGCGTTGTGACGGTCTAATAAATAAGTTGTATGTATTGTAACACAGCAGGATGCACGAAATGAAAATCATAAAAAAATAAGCTTATTATGGAATGTCACAAAGGGCCTATGGACTGGATAGATCTAGCAGAGGACAGGGACCAGTGGAGGGCTACTGTGTATATGGTAATGAACCTTTGGGATCCATAAAATGCTGGGAAGTTCTTGAGAAGCTGCACAATTGGCAGCTTCTCAAGAAGGGCTCAACTCCATGATGTTAGTTCCATATAATTAGTCTTCCATTAATATTCAAGAGTTTATCAACTTCGAAAATATTCCTTAAGTTACAGTTCCCACACTCAATGCTGTCTGAAGTGACTATGGAAATAACTGCAGACTGACATGGGCATGCGGTAGCGTAGTTCATTGAGGCACTATGCTACAAGCTAGAAGGTTGTGGGTTCAATTCCAGAGGAGGTCATTGGATTTTTCAATTGACCTAATGCTTCCACTCTGTGGTTGACTCAGAAGTGTGTACCACGAATCTTCCTGGGGGTAATGGGCGACCAGCACGTACGGGTGACCTCACCGCCTTCTGCTGGCTGACTGTCTAGAAAATGTGTAAGCCTCGATGTCTCACAACCCTATAGGCCTCCATGGCCTGTTACAAGGATAGCTTTACCTTTTTTCTTTTATTTTCTTACTTGCAGAGTGATTGGGGAGCACACAGTAGCGTGGTTAGTTGAGGCACTATGCTACAAGATGGAAGGTCGCGGTTTCAAATCCCTGATGAGCTCACTGGATTTTTTCAATTGACCTAATCCTTACAACTACACTATGACCATGGGGACGACTCAGCCTCTAACAGAAATGAGTATCAGGAATATTTATGGAATATTCTTGGGGGTAAAGGGCAGCTGGTGCATAGGGCTGACAACCTTGCTGCCATCTATGAGCCGAATGTCTAGAAAATGTGGGAACCTCAATATCTCACAACCCTATGGGCCTCCATGGCCTGTTACAGGGATACCTTTACTCTTTTTAGTTTTTTACTTGCGCAGTGATAGAAAGTTACTTCTGCTTCAGTTGACCATGCTTTCTCAATTTTGCTAAAAACAGAGATCCAATATTGATAGCATGGGCCCCACACACATACTGAGAAAACAATGAATTAAATTTATAGGGTGGATGAATGGAGGGGTTGTCTGTGGAAGCTGTAGGTAGAGTTGGGAACCATTTATTTTGAAGGTTCACTAGTTTATTTAATTTGGGATCATTCAGAATGATTTGGAGCTACATATTAATGAGGGAAATTTATAAAATGTGTATGTTAAATAAAGAATATGAGATATTCTGTTGATGTTGAAATAACAGCTATCAGTGAAACTCATAACATGTCTGCCTGTGTTTATTCTGTGCCAATAACCATATCAGTCAACTACTGAATGTTACACTTTGTGTATCTGAAAGAACTGTATATCTGTTGTTTATTGGCAAACCAGATAATTGAAATTGTGACAATCTACTGCCAGCTGAAGAAGAGGGGGTTAGATATTGAAAAAAAAAATCGTTTTTACATACAATTTTGCCAAAAATATTTCCTCTAGACAGCAGCATCAATTAGTGCATACTATTATTTTATCATTTTTAGTATCCTAATAAATATGCCAATGTCTTTCCATAACTTTTCAAAATAGTGAGGTTAAATATTCTTCCTATTCTACCAACAAAAAGGAAAACAAATCCGTATCACCAAATATACCCACAAAAGTAAAGTGATTATATTGTTGTATTTAAGGATGCATATGATGGTACCACTGTCACAATCGTCTTGAAATTTCCTTTCTCCAACTTTTGTAGGAACACACAATTAATGCAAAGAAAGATATCATATTCCTACTCAGAACCGACTACAATTACATAAATATCTTAGCATACATAACAAAGGAAATGTACTTTCCATTATGGGCCAACAGCCTAGCCACCAAAGAGCATGCAATTTTCTTTCTGTTACTTCAATATGTGCTACAAAACATATGAAAATAATGTCTTACTTTTCTCCTTGTGGTGAAAGATAAGAGTCAATGGAATCATAACGAGATTTTGGTATTCTAAATTTATTGTGTTTCAGCGGCAATTCTCCTCTCTCTTCTCTGGTGCGACAATCCACAGAGCATGAGATAACATTCCATCGACAATCTACATCTGTCACATAACCTCGGTGCAATGGTGATGCTGCCGTCAATGCCAACTGAAACAATGAAAAATGTGTCCTACAAGTTGTACCAGCAAACCACAATTATCTGTCATATTTACATGCCATTTCTTCAAGGCAGATGCCTGAATACTTTTGTATGAGTAGTAGTGTACATTAAATGCAATGAAAACTAAGTAACTTGTTACTTACATGGTTTCAGTATTAAAATCCTTCAAAAGTGCATGTTTACTGTCCTAATTCTCATATTATAAGTTCATAAAGAATACATTAAGCAAATTTTTCTCTCTCCCTTGTATGTTCACTGCACCAATTCCTTCAGAATATTCAGTCTTAAAAAGCACCTGAAGAGGGAAGTAAACAATTTAAAGTAAGGTTGTCTCTGTGCTTATTAAGCACCATGACATGAAAATGTATAGGGAATTGGAGATATAGACCCACATATTCTTAGTCTCAGTACTAAATGAAGGTGAGTGCTCAGCTTCATTCTCCAGTGATAAAGCTCCTGGTAGCCACTGTACAGAAGGCTGGGTGTGCTCCAGAGCTTGTCTGGACAAAGCCTATTCAGAGTACTACCCAGCATTTGGTGGAAGGACATGACTATAAAAAAAATCAGGATGTGTCCTGGCCAAATTTCAGACCAAATCCCTCCTGGACAGAAGTCTAGAGCATTACCGCTCTACCAGCCTGTTCAGTTACAGTCAGTTTTAGCGTGCTTTTTATGAACAGCTCCCATAACACATTCTTTCCAATGCTGTGTAAATTCGTTGTAACTCCACATTTGTGTGTATCACAATGCTTAACATCCTTCTTCAATCAGTTTGGTCTCTCCTTGGTGATTTATACCTTTTCAGCATTTCAACAGCAATCCCAACTTCATAGTAACAGGAATCAGTTGCTAATGACTCTGTCGTATATCAGCCTGCCTAACACTGTTAACTCCATATACATTCAACAAATGAGAGAAGTAATTCTTCCATCTACTGAAAATAATGTATGAATCTGAAAGCAGATCAGCATTCCCATATGTTACTAACTTAGTTCCAAATTAGTAACACTTCTTGAATTAATTTATGCCTCTGTGCATGTGCCAAAGATATCTTTATTACTGCTGGTTTCCGACTCATTATTTCCACCTTCTTGTTCCCAAAATGTTTTCCAGTTTAACCCCTTATATTGTTCAGATTGCTTCCAATTCATTGGACTTGGATTCTGCAACCACTGCAATTTAACCTGCTTCCTCCAATCTCATAATTTTGAATAATACTTGCCAGACCATGATTTATGCTACTGTAACTGAATAAGTTGGATTCTCTTGGTTGAAATTTTGATATGAATGAATCTTTACTGTACTGTGATATTTTAAGCAGATATATGCAAACCCACTGTTGTAAATCTAGTAGCACTGTGTGCTCAGAAATTATTATTTTCTTGGATTCATTAAATATTCACCATATCACAAATGTTTTACATAAAAGTTATGGATCTTAATGAAACCCATAATTTATGGCCTGTACTACTTTCTGCATGATGAGCCATTTTTAGGAAATTTTACAAAGTTCAAAATGGACTTCATGTAAAGTTATAACTGACCAGTATGCACCTAAATCAAATTTGCATTGTAAGTTTTTGCATAAACTATCAATACCAAATTTCAGTGAAACCCATTAAGTAGTTACACAGATGAAATATGATGATGAACATGATCTCATTCTGCATTCCCTTAATGCACATCTTGTAAACACACAGCTAATTTTGCAATGTTATTACTTTACCCTCCCAGAGTCTGACTCCAATATCTGTGCCATGGGAGGAGGTAAGAATTTGTACACGAATTCCTATTGCAATGATGCTCAGTACTTTTACAGAATATGAGAAGGCCAAAGAGGAACTATGAAAACAGCTTACAGAGCTTTGATGAACCTGTGACAGGCCAGCAAGCTGATCGTATTTAACGACGCTCTCAAAATTAAATTTTTTCAGAAGAAAGATGGTTCTATATTAAGACAATATGAAAGAGTTTGGAGACTATTCATCCATTGACCTGTATGAAATGATAGCAATGCTGTGAGAATAAGACTATTTCTGAAAGTACTTATACTGGGTAATTTATAAGTCCCCCCAAAAAACCCTGACAATAATTTAGAATCACTATTTACTCAAAATACATGGATACAAGGGTACTATGATTCTATATTAATGTCAGGGTTTCCAGAGGGTATTACAAAGTACAGTGCATATAATGCAGAAGCTGCAATATTTAGCCATAAAAGAGGCGGCCTATAATTTGTGGCTGAAGTTTTAACTTACTGAGTGAGAATATTTTCATCAACCCCATTCAGAGCTCACATGGTGACCCTTTCTGACACTTCATGCAGTAACAGCATTTTTCAGTTTCTAACACGTGTGTTCAAACACACTGCTGAATGAGCACAACAGAGCTCTTCTCTGTTGACATACAATAGACAGTGGGCCTCAATACATAAGCATTTCATGATGATTCTTCTACAGAATTTACACTTTAATCCAACCTCTTACAGATCTCTTGTATTTCTATTTGTTGAAGGACATAAAAAAAGAGAATAGAGAACTGTGTAATACAGAGATATTAGCATTGTGCAATAAGATACTGAAAGGTCAAAGTGTCATCAACAGATATTACTATTTCCTTCATTAACACAGTGACTACAGATAGCCCAGAGCAAATTCTTCCATTCCTTCATATCTGAAAGATACCCAGTTCAAATTCAGCTATCAAGGCCAAGTTTTCATAGCCTTCCCTACTCCCTCCATACAAATCCTTGTTTGGAATTCTATTACATCTACCAGTGCTGACAAATTGAACACATCCAGAAGAAGTCTGCAGCCCTTTGCTTTTGTTTCAATCATTTCTTTCTGCATGCCCATTAGTTCTGCCAATCCTTTGGAGCACTTTAGTGCAACACCTTACATAAATAGAAGTATCACCTTGGTACACTGACCCTCATTCAAGTTTACCTTGCCTCTAAATTCTGTCCGTTTTTGAAACCATTGGTCTTCGAGTCACTACTCTGTGAATCAGAGATTCTTCTATGTTCAGAGTCTCTGCTCTTCAAGTAAAACAATCCATCTACTAGAAGTGCACCAGCTGCTAATCTGGTTTGTATGAACATTGATACATTTAAAACAAAAACTGTTTCCCTCAACCACACTTTATAACAGACACAGTATTGTCTTATTTATTAAATTATTATTCATATTCAACACAAATATATATCTTTTCTTTCCTCACATCCTAAGTATATTTCGGTTTGTTTTAATGGACTTATTATCATCTACATGATATAAATTGTTACTATAGGATTCTGACGATGGTGTATAACACACTGATATCTTGGGATTTTGGACTTTATCCATTGTCCTGGTTTTTAAGGTAACAAATAAAAACACGACATTTCGGAAACTGGATCTGTTTCCGTCCTCAGGTGAAGGAAAACACCTATTCAGTTGGGTCCCTTAGAAAGAGCTAGCCTCAATCACTGTCCAACTGAATAGGTGTTTTCCTTCACCTGAGGACGGAAACAGATCCAGTTTCCGAAACGTCGTGTTTTTATTTGTTACCTTAAAAACCAGGACGATGGATAAAGTCCAAAAACCCAACATATCAATGATATAAATTGCCTCACTCTGTCTTTTGTTTGTATGTTTTGTTTCTATTTTTATATTTGTGTTTACTTTTTAACTGGACACTGGTATGTTATGTAGGAATGTAAATAAATAAAGAACTGAACTGAAAGAGACCACAAATGCTTCATCCTCCACAACTTGCAATCCTTCTGTATTTGATACACTACTGCCAGGAAGTAAAGAATAATGAGAGATAACAAGAGCTTTCCAAAGAATGTATTCACAGAAACAGTAAAAGAATTTACTTCAAGCTGTGAATCACGTCAATGAGACGAATTAAGAGTTTTAATCTTCACGTCCTAAATTATCCCACATATTTTGAATTGTTTCATTTTGGTCCGTTACACTATCAATCACAAAGTTAATAGAAAGTCACACTGCTGTGCAGTACACAGCACACAGCACACAGGAACATATCAAACCATAAGCTATACAACCTCAAGCTGACGTCTCCCATCTTCGGGATGAATTAACAAGGAGGAGTTCAGCATTTTATATCAAATATTTTAACATTTTAGCGTTTTAACTTAAAATAGGTTCGGATGAAAAGTGAGAACTTGAGAGTGTACTCAACTATCTTAGCATGTTTTGTGCTTTTACACGTCAACATATCGTAGCAGCGTCCACACGACAAACATAATTGTGAACATCAAAAAAAAAAAAAAAAAGCAACAGGGTTTCCATAATTGTAGCAAGTGCCTCTGATGATGGTTGTGTCAAACCGAAACATGTAAGGCAGAAATAATAATAAAAAAGTGACCTACAAATTGTTACACTCGACGGACTTTCTATTAACTTTGTTATCCCATATAGTTTGCACATATTTCTTCACTTCAATTAATCCTTCAATTACTGAGTATCAATTTTATAGAGGTACCACAGCAACTTCACTTTCAGTTCCAGAGAAATAAAAGGTGGGAATGAACAAGCAACAGAATAAGTAACTGGCCTGAATGAAATCTTCATCACAGGAATGTAATATTGCAAGTATTTTACAAGCAATTAATAAAGATAATACAAATTTTAAACACACAAATTTAAAAGTGAAAACACTCTCTAAAACTTTGTTCTGAAGTTATCTGACAAAATATTATTGCATACTTATGAAGTGTATGAAAAATAGTACAACCTTTCAGCTACTGATATTTAAAGATGCTAATGTAACACAGCCTTTACAACTATAATTACCACAGTGAAGTAATAAATAACACAGAAAAGCTAGACTGATCCTTTCAATAAGCGAACTTTATTGGTTTCATTAGAAATGTTAAAAAAAATGTTGGGAAGGCAAGATGGACCTTTAAGTCAGATCCAAGCAACACGTATAACCAAAAACACATAATAGTGTGACGTATTTGCACTATGCAGGACGCCCTCTCCCCCGCCAGCGGTGGCATAACAGCGCTGCCGCTGCTACAGTGACGGGCAAGTCAGTGCTCTGACCCCTACCCCGAAGTGATGTGGCAGGTGACAACAGTGACATAGCGGGGGATGCCGCGGTTGCTATGCAGCGATAAACAACTCTCGATAGCGTTCCCAGCTACACCTGTAAACACGGCGACTAGGCAACAAGGAAGCAGGGCGTTTTCCCATTGTCTGGCTGAGGGTTTATAAGAGAATTGCACTTCCTAAGAGTCAGTGAAAATGTAGCAGCCGCCGAAGACAGTTGAAATATAGCAGCAGACGCAGAAAGAAGACTTGAACGCGTGGTTAGAAGATCTTATGTGATAGTGCGCGAAAACTGAGAAGTCAGCAAGTGAAGACTCATTGTGTGACTTCAAGATTGTGTGCTGTAGTACAGTTACAATGGGAGGGTGTAATTAGGAGAGACTTGTATAGCTCCCAAGTTACAAATACATGAAGACTACTGAAGAGATTATAGTGTAGGGTTATAAAGTGTGTAAACCCGTAACAGTGTTATAAGTATTTGTAGTTACGATTTGTCGGTTGTTAAATAAACCAATTAACAATCAGAACAGTGTCTTCTGTAGCAAAACACATTACAATATATTAACACAATATCACGAGGAGGTCATATTAGCAGCTAAGAAACAACACTCTGACAGATGAGCACTAATATATACAAGATCTCAGGTATCCACAGACTGCAGAGCTTATTAACAAAAGAAACAAATACTTAAATAACGAATGCCAACATGAATCCGATACATATATAAGATGAAAACGGATTTTTTTAAAAATATGCTTTAAAAATAATGGTTTATAATGTTAACTATATTAATTTAATAAAAAATATAAAATTGTTATAGGCAAAAGTTATGTGAATATGCATACTAAGCAGTTTTAGCCTTGTATTTTAATATTCAAAGCATGATGATGCCTTACAGCACCCAAAAAATGTGGCTGAAATATTACAAATCATTTCAATATTAACAACAGCACTAAGGAGGTTGTTCTGGTGGTAACGCTCTGGGTTTGTACTTGGAACATGCTTGGGGCACTGATAAATATAGGACAGTAACTCACTCACACCATGACCATTTCTTTCCAAATGCTTTCCAATTCATTAATGCTATACAATGGAGAGTAAAACAGTCATAAACAAATCAAATCAAATAACAGTAATAACAACAAAGAACACCTTTTCTTGATTGTTAAAAAGAAATCAGACCTGCATACAGTACACTAAACTAACACAGCTTTTGAAAGTATTAATGTACCCTCCTTGTTTCCTTGTTATATCTACTGGAAAATTAAGGATGGCCTTGATATGTCTACAAATTTATTATACATATAATGGCATTCTGTACTGACAAGACTAATCTACGAGAGGCCAAAGCATCTAGGGCTCTGAGGTAGCAGTTTGGCATTTTACTGAGTCCATTAGTCAACATCAAAATTATTATAAACAAAGGGGTCAACTAACATACGTTCTTCTGTCTATACTACTCACCATGATGGGGCAAAGTGGTGTAAGTTGATCATAGAGGGTCCTTGCTTCATTGATATTGCAAGCTTGGAATGTAAGCTGGAGGCAACAGCATCCCATGCCAAACCCCATCGCATCCATGTACACATGATTTGGTAAGGCCGCCTCACTAGATTCACCATTACCACCGACAGCCTCCAGGTTCTCCACAAATGGGTTTGGTGTTTTCTTGTCCCTGAAGACTAGGAACCAGAGCTCACAATTAGAACTAAAACAAGTGTACACAGTGGAGACAGCAGTGGGTGGGAGATACAGGACACAGTATTCTGGACTATCAACCAAAATGCTTCCAGTCATTTCAGTTGAATGGGTCATGAGCAGTGATCAATGCTTTAGCTTCCATTTTTCCATAAGAAACTTTTAGTTGAAAATTAACAAGCATGGAACTTCATACAACCAGTAAGATTGTAAGGCTATTTTGTTATTAAATAAGAGTGATTAAAGACTGTCAGAAAAGTTCTCCTTTAATGTGGCTTAAAGGAAGATTAATAATTTAATCTTTTTTATTTTTTTATAAATAAATTAATATTTTTATGGTTCTTCACCATTACTATATACATTCGTATTTTTAAAACTGTACAGAAACGGAGATTCTCTACAAAGGTCTGTGACAACAGTCAATTCATTCATATAATTATGTCAGACACAGCCCATTATATAATTCAAATGTTCTTAACCCCTTTCTCCCAACACAGCCCTTGAAGGTCAAGTAACGATTCTACACCAGTGAAGGACTCTTGTGAACACAGTAACGAACCTTTGGGTTCCATAAAATGCTGGAAAGTTCTTGAGTAGCTGCACAATTGGCAGCTTCTCAAGAAGGGCTCAGCTCCGTGAGTGAGTGAGTGAAGTCTAACTTCTGGGATATAATGTCATTTGGTCCAAAGCTTCATGCTTCATACTGGTTCCTTGCTTGGCTTACTCTCCAACCCTCAAAATGGAGGTGACATGATCCTCCAAAACAGAGGCTGGCTTTCAATGGACTGCATGGCATTTCATCCCAAAAGACAGAGCTCTTCACAACCAATGCTGTGAGAACCTCAAATTCTGTATATTGATTATGTGTTTCTGAGTTCAAATTACAATATGTATGAGAAGAAAAATCATTTATTTATAAGATCAAAGTCCCATGGATAATGAGGAAGGAAGAATGACAGAGTCTTTTCATAATCTTAACCTTTTTAATACAAAGGTGACAGCAGAATGGAAGAAATCTGAACATGCTGATAACCTTTCATAATTGTTTACCAATTTTCTCTTATTCTGTACAAAAGGAATGTGACTTTAATGTGGAAGTATTCTTCTGCAAACAGACAAGTGTGTTACTGCTATGCCAGAGATCATGCCACAAAGCCTTTGTTGGGATGATATGCAGATTCAATTCATACACTGAGGGCTGTAATGTCATAGAGCTGAATGCTTTTCAGTCTATAGGTTCAGTTTACATAAAGTACACACAGTAGGCTGAAAGATGGATTCAGTAGTTATGCTTTTTCTGCTTCCTATTAGAATTGTAAATATTCATAATTATACTGTTATTTTACCTTAGTTATATGTACAAATATTGAAAACAATGACTTGTTAATTCAGCCATACTGGGAGGTGGATCAATATTTTAATGAGTGACTCAAGTAACTTTAAATTTTCATCAGTATGAAGTCCACCACATCAGAGGTTTAATTATAAAACAAAACCCAAAACATAACCTCAGAAGGTTCATAGATATGAATTTTAAAAACAAAGCTAAAAGCCTGACTTCTTCAAAATGGAATCAAATTTTAAAAACAAAACCAATAGCCTGATGTGGATTTATTGTTGGAGATAAATTCTAAGGCATGGGTTTAGGTATTGTTTTCACAAATAAACTTCTAAGGTTGGTGGCACTGAACATGATGGACACAGTGGTAATAAATTTTCAAGTTACTAGGGTCACCCACTAATATGTAAGTACTGATATATCAAATAGCTGTAATTATAAACCAAACATAAACATACTAATCACACAGAACCATTGGGGATGACCTTCAAGGGTAAAATATGTTTATCTGTACATAAATGTAAATGATTATATTTATTAACTGAATGTGAAGGCTTGTCAGACAAAATTTAATTCCATAATTGAAGCCACACAGTATGAAGGACGATATGATTGGGGAGAATATTACTTCAAAGTAAATTCAACTCACTAGGTAGGTTTATAGCAACCTTTGATCCTCTCCTTTGTCGAATATTTCTTGTCAGTGTTCTGAAGCGTGGATGTCCTTGGAATATGGCTTCATCAGGAAAGAAAAGGGAACGTGAAGCCCCAGTTTCTGGAGTGGGAACTGTTGGAGGGTCTGTGAAGTCATGAGAGCCAAGCCTGCAAATGGAAAAGGAATTCTATTACATGTAACATCTTTCAGAATGAATGGTAAACTGAATAAAATATTGCACTGCACCCAGTATGATTATATGAAAATTATTTCTTGTATTTTGTGCAGCATGGTAACAGTTCCAAGATTAGAACAAAATTTTCATTTCACAGTTCAATTTCACTCCATTCATGTTTCATCTTCTATTGTTAAAAGTACAGTATAACTTCATTAATTCAAATAGGTGGGACAGTCCATATTATTAAAGCATCTAAATTACAGAACATAATTAACTAAATACCTAACTCCATGGAGCTCTGTCCTTCTCGAGAAGCCGCCAGTTTTGCAGCTACTCCATAATTTCCCAATATTTTATGCAACCTGAAGGTTCATTACCTGGTCCCCAACCTGAGCCAGATCAAATCAGTCCATACCACCCTGTCCTATCTCTCTTAAGATTCATTTTAATATTATCCACACACCCATGTCTAGGCATTCATCATGTCTCTTTTATTCTGGCTTTCCCACCAGTATCCTATATGCATTCCTCTTCTCCCCATTCAAGCTACAGGCATCTCATCGTCCTTAACTTCATCATTCTAATTATACTTGACTGCCTCTGTAGTCTAGTGGACACAGTTCCTGACTACAGATCCAGAGGTCCCAGGTTCCATTCCCGGCGCTACCAGATATTTCTTAGTAGTAGTGGGAGTGGAACGGGGTCCACTCAGCCTTGTGAGGATAATTAGGGAGCTATTTCAAGGATATGGAAGCTCCTGTCTATAAAACCGAAATTAAGGCCATGCTGATTTTCTTTTATTGTAGAAGAAAATTCTGTAAATACAAAAAAGGCCTAGGCAATGCCCATCTGGCATTCTGTAGCACATTCTTATAAATATCTTATTCTATAATAGCAGTAACCCCGCAATTCTTAATACAGATCTTAACTTAAATCTGAGAGGATACTGTTAATAATCAGTACAATTACTTCTTTTATATTTCTTACATATTTTATATAAATATAGGAATGTTGTTTATGAAGTAACAAACGCCTTGCAGAAATCTTTTTTCTCCTAGCCTTAAGAGTTCTATAACTGACTTTGCTGTTCTCAGACAAAATGTCCATCATTGTTGTCTGTTGGTCCTCATACAGTTTACAGTCCCAGAAGACATGTTTCTCTGTTTGCAGCCCATCACCACATTCGCATTTGGCCTTGGACACAATGTTAAATCTGGTTAGGCTTGCTTTAAGACTGGTGTGGCCTGCTCTCATATGGTTTATTGACATGAAGTCACGGTGGTTCATTTTTATCTCAGTTTTATGTATTCTAGTTTTTATGTTTTTAGAAAGCAGACAATCAGATGAAAAGTTCTAGAATGAGTGGTAGAAAGCATTACTCAAATTTAATTTCCTTTCAATTTCATCCTGAATAAAATTTTGATCTGTTACTGTCATTCCCAAATATTTGAACTGTGCCACATTTTCAAAATATCTGTTGGCTGTTCATATCATGAGCTTGCCCTGCATTCTGGAGATGAGACAGCAAAATATACTTATTACTTCTAGACCAACCTCCTTACTAGCACCAATTAAGGATTCTATGTTTCTCTTTATGGCATCTATGTTATCTCCCAGTAGATTTACATCATCAGCATAGACCAGCAGCTGATATGTCCCATTAAATTTCAGTCCCACCTGGGTTTCCTCGACCTTCCTAATGACATATTCTAAAGGAAAGCTGAAAAAGAGCAGTGATAAAGCATCTCCATTTTTTAGATCAGGAAATTTATCGGGTGATTATCTTTATGAACTTTACTATACGTTTCATTTAAACACGTTTTAATCAGCCTAACTAGTTCCATGTGTACCCAAAACTCTATGAGAATACTGTACAATACTCCCTTCCTAACTGAATCATAGGCTTTCTTGAAGTCTATGAATACCTGATGTACTGTCTTACTGTACTCCCATTTTTCTCCAGTATCTGACAAATGCAAAATATCTGATCAGTAGTTCAAGTGTTACCTCAAAACCCACAGTAAGATTTATTGCTCTTCTTTAAACTGGTATAGTAACAGACTCCTTCCACTGATTAGGCAAAGTCTTCCTTATTTCAAATAGAATTAATGAGTGTATGGATCTCAGACTGTAATGTTTCACCTCCTGTCTGAATCAGTTTTGCCAGAATTTGATTACTACCTGGTGATTTATATTTTATCACCTTTTCACTAGCAATTTCAACCTCAAAAGAACTAGGATCAGGTACTAACAGCTCAACTGTATGCACTTCTATTTGCCTAACAGCACTGACTCTATGTACATTCAGTAACTGACAGAAGTAGTTCTTCCACCTATTCAAAATGTTGTGGGAATCTGCAAGCAGATCACCATTCCCATCCAACACTAAGTTACTTCTAGGTGGGTAACCCCTCTATACAGGTCTATAATGTTCTTGTTCTTACTGTTTGTTGCAAGCTCATTAATTTTGTCTTTCAAATATTCCCTCATCTTATTCCTCAAATGCCTGATGGTTTCACTTCTTATCGTTCAAATTATCCCCATTTACTTTGGTAGATACTGACCTCTTACATTTCACATACCAAATCTCATGTCTATTTTCTTTAGCATATGTCATTTATTCAAACAATCTGTCCAGGTCCAAGGGCCTTTGTCAAACTTTGTAAGAAGTTTATTTTTAAGGTGAAGAGTTGTTAGCCCCAATCCCAACCCCCAAGCTGGAAGACTACTCCCTGTCAGCTGTCCATAATTCAATATATTCACAGCTTCCTTCCATATCTGCAGGCTGTCTCCTCCATCCACAGCCTGAGGATGCACCATGCTGTGGTAACAAGGCACCCACATGGTAGAATATAATTATATGTACATATTTTCACACCACGGTTCAGAGCATTCTACACCATTTATGAATTATACGCATACTATAAATTGCCTTACCGGGGAAAACTTGTGAGTGACATGACCACTTCTCCTGGATTTAACAACCTTGCAACTTCCTCTCTGCGATACTTCATGTTTGCTTCAACGATGTTGAAATGAGCAAGCAATCCACCATATGGCTTGCCTGGGGTTCCTTCGATCATGTATGCTCCATATTCTGGCCTCCACAGAGATTTAACCCCACTGAAATGAAAATAACAACTACAATAATGACAATGATATCACCCATACAGTTAGAAGGTGAGGAAATATGACTGTTTATAAAGAGTTCTGAAGTTAGATCTGCTGATTTTTATAACATAATAATAGGTTATATGGTCTGAGATTTTCATAGAAGGCTCACAATGTGGTCATCAAAATTATGGGGGGAAGGGAATAAATATGTAAACAAATAAAGAGGACCTACTGCCTCCATTTTCAGAGTTCTAAAAAGACTATAGCTATCACACCAGTTGATTAACCAAACAATGTCAACATTTCTGCTGCAAAACATTCGTTGATACTGCGAAGACTGGTTGTGTGAAAGTTATTCTCACAGAAACAGAATCTATTTATTCAACATAATTTATTGTTCTGTCACTAGACAGTGTTTCATTGCAGGTCTATCCTACTGAAAGATAGATTCATACTTATTTAATGGAGCTTTTTCCACTCTTAATATTACAGTGTTGAAAAACTGGAAAAGATTTTGAAGAATGTGGTCCTGCCCTATTTACAGCACTATCCCAGTATCTGCTTGATATTACTGCAGGTAACCACAAAAATTTCAGTCAGAAAAGCTAACTAATTGAACATAACATCTGGTAGTTCCATCCAGTAAGAGATTAGCAAACTTTAAGAATACCATCTTCTGAAATGTAACACTGTGTGGTCCAGTAGAAGCCCACTAATATTTTGGAGGAATGTTTTGCCTACATCTTCTGGGTTGAAGCTCTGTTTGTTGCTTGCTCCCTTGGCTTACTCTTTCATTGATCTTGAACATGGGGGCAATGGATCCTTCTAAGACAGCAGAGGCCTCATACTAGAATACATGGCTTTACACGCCAGAAGACAGTCATAGGCAATGCCATGAGAACTTCAAATCCAACATGTGAACCTGTTCTAATATAATACTAGTGGCTGGCAACTGAGTTTTTATGTATGTACGTGGGGCAATCCAAAAGTTTCCGAAATTTGAATTTTGCACGCGAATGGTTATGAGTACATCGAAATACCGCTAGGTGTCTCCTCACACATCGTTCTTGAATCAGTGTGGCAAGCAACGTCGAGTTAAGTGGTTGGGTTTATTGTTGGTGAACGTATTTCCATTGTTGTGTTTCCGTGAGTTTGCACTTTTGCAATGGCTGACCTGAGAGAGCAGCGTGTCTGTATAAAGTTTTATTTCAAACTTGGGAAAACCAATGCAGAAACGTACCAAATGTTGAAGCAAACTTTTGGTGAAAACAGTTTAGGCCAGACACAAACTTACAACTGGTATAAGTGTTTTAAAAATGGCTGAACAATGACAGATGATGACGATTGTTCGGGACAGCCATCAACGGGCAAAACACCAGAAAATGTCGGGAAAGTTACGGATCTGATTATGCAAGATTGTAGACTGACCATCCAAGACCTCTGTAACACCTTGGGACTAAGTTATGGTACATGTCAACAAATTTTGTCAGAGGAACTGAACATGAGGAGGATTGCGGCGAAGTTTGTGCCCCGACTGATGCAAAATGAACAGAAGCAGCATTGCTTGGAAGTCTGCAGGGAACTTCAGCAACAGCTTCAAGAGGATCCAAACTTTCTTTCGAAGGTTGTCACTGGTGACGAAAGTTGGGTTTATGGCTACGACCCTGAAAGCAAGCAGCAATCGTTGCAATGGAAGAACCATTCTTCACCTCGGCCAAAAAAAGCTCGACAAGTCAAGAGCAACATTAAGTCCATGTTGATCTGTTTTTTTTATATTGACGGGATTGTTCATAAGGAGTTCGTCCCTCCTGGTCAGACAGTCAATAAAGAGTTCTATCGCGATGTTCTAAGGCGTTTGAGGGAGAGCATGAGGAGAAAACGTCCAGAGAAGTGGCGCACGAACAACTGGGTACTCCACCATGACAACACATGACCGCATGCGGCTTACAATGTGCAGGAATTTTTAGCTAAAAACAAGATGGCAGTTGTTCCCCACCCACCGTACTCACCAGACTTAGCTCCATGCAACTTCTTCCTCTTCCCCAAGATGAAAATCAAGTTGAAGGGGCGAAGATTTGATACAGTTGAGGAAATTCAAGCGGAAACGCAGACGGTACTAAACATCCTAACAACGAAAGACTTCCAGGATGCATTTGAAAAGTGGCAGAAACGCTGGGATCGGTGAGTGCGCTCCCAGGGGGGGACTACTTTGAAGGTGATGGTGCAGAATAAGATCCAGGTAAGATGTAATAGTTTTTATTAATATATTTCGGGAACTTTTGGATTGCACCACGTACAAATTTATTTAGACCATTCAACACTGTACAGTCAGAGCTACTGACAACACTGTTACACAAACAATATTATTTATTTTTTTTACTGTTAGTGGGGTCAGACTAAGTCCCTTGTACTGTGGCCACTTCTGGCCTATTGTACCAGCCCCAGATGACAGATGAGGGTGATTGAGGAGCAACTGATGGAATGAAGACTGGCAGGGGAAACCAAAGTACTCAGAGACAACCTGCCCCAGCACCACTTTGTCCACCACAAATCCCACTAGACCAGACCCCCGGGATCGAACCCGGGCCTCCACGGTGGGAAGCCAGCAACTAGTCCCTTGAGCTACGGCGCACCCCTAAACAAACCATAAGTAATTTACATGAACTTTGTTAACTGAAACTTTAAATACTTACCAATAATGATCCTTACACATCCTTACTTAACTTAAACTTCTATTATATTAAAATAAAGACACAAAAACACCATGGCTTGAGTTCACAAGCGAACTATACTAACCGAGTGAACCGTCACTCGTCGGCGAAGTTAGTGTCAACTTTAGCAGATAGAGGGTGTTGGGTGGTCAGCACAACGAATCCCATGGCTGTTAATTTCGGTTTTCTAGACCGGAGCCGCTATTTCCTTGAAATAGCTCCTCAGTTATCCTCACGAGGCTGAGCGGACCCTGTTCAAGACCCACTACTTCTCAGAAAATCTGAAAGCGCCGGGAATCCAACCCGGGACCTCTGGATCTGTAGCCAGGAGCACTGACCACTAGACCACAGAGGCAGTCAAAATAAAGTGAGAACATAATTAAAACAAGTAGTTACTATAGGATTCTGACGATGGTGTATAACACACTGATATGTTTGGATTTTGGACTTTATCCATCGTCCTGGTTTTTAAGATAACAAATAAAAACACGACGTTTCGGAAACTGGATCTGTTTCCGTCCTCAGGTGAAGGAAAACACCTATTCAGTTGGGTCCCTTAGAAAGAGCTAGCCTCAATCACTGGNGGATAATTAAAACAGTCCACATGTTAACCTAACTTCACTCAACCTCAGCTACTGACAACAGATACGTTTATGTACAGCCTTACTTACTCCTTGGGTCCTCTGAGAACCTTGGCCACCTTTACAACAAATTCCTATCATTTTCTATTATCTGCCTTTTGGCACATCATAAAGTTGATGTAGCTAACACAGCATTGTTGCATTTGTACACCAACCAACCTTTTAAGAATTCAACTACTGAAGGACTCTCCTAGCAAGAAAAACCCCATAATCTCATACAAGGGCACACTCGATTCATGATACACATTCACAATTTGCCTAGTAAACACTTAAAACTACATTCAGACAGTTAAATTAACCATGTAAATAATATAGTGGGAACTTACTGCGGATTCTTAAGTTCCTTTTCTTGTAGAATATTCAGGATATCTGCCGCTCGAAGTGAAACTCTTGCTACCTTTCTTGCATGATCGAACTTCACAAGAATATATTCAACCTGGTATAAAAAATTACAACCGATTATTTTGACAATTTAATTTACTTTAATCAGATTTAATTAGGCAATAAAGTTGCTCCTTACCTCGTCACCCCACTTAAGAACATCCCCTTGGCGATCACGAAGGCGTTTATACAAATTAATAAACTGCACTACACCGTGCTGTCTTACATGGTCTGCTAACGCCTTTGTTTCTTCCCAGCTTAGTGGGCTGCCTTCTGTCAATAAACCCATGTCCTATGGTTATAATATGTCTTCACTAAACAATGAATTTGCCAACGAAGTAATCGTTTTTAACGACCCCTCCTCGCTTTAGAAACTATTACACACAATGCAGTCGCTGTGACACTTGTTTTAATGAGCACACTAATCCTCGTTTCAGTTAATCACTCCTCGCTGAAATAATACGTAACGATTTATCTAACGAAACAACGAGATAATGCCGATATTTACAAGACACGGACCATTCAACCACCATACAACATTTCATTACAAAATATTTCAAAGAGACGATCGCTCTGCGCAGGCGACTACAGTAGTCAAATCAGTTTTTGCATTAAGTAATTTTTGCAGACTGAACAGAAGCATATGGAATAAGTGAACTTGCGAAGATATTGCCGAAAAAGTGCTCGTGTGAAGTTCTCCGAAATACCCTCCTCTGGTAATATCAGAACTGAATGCTTCGTCACTCTCTCACCGCTTAATATAACCCCAGAGAAGTACAAGTTCTTGAGTTCTTGAGCTTCTTAAGGTTATCAAGTGTGAGCACGCCCCCATGTATTGGTAGATGTTGCAAGTCATCATAGTCAAGGGCAAATGCCTGGTGAAATTTCATGTCTTGTGCAATGACAGTGAATTGCCTTCTTAGTCTCCAGAATTAAAAAAGAAAGATCCATATTGCTGGCATTTCTTATTATTTCCCTTGATTTCATTGAATGATGTGTCTATGGAATAAATTATATTTAGTGTTTTTATATGATCGTATCGTAAACAGTAATTTTAAAAAATTTTAAATTTATGAGTTACACAACAAATACTGATATAAGAACTAAAGGCAAGAACTATACACGCAGCTTCAAATACTGTAATGTCACAAACGGGTGTGAAAATGTCAAGTTCACTGAGGTTTCCCTAAGTTCTTTGATATTTATTTTACCACTACACACCCAGACAAACATGTGTATGAATGCTAATAACAAAAATGTTGTCCTTTTTAAACGAGAAAGAATCAGATTTTACAAGTGAAAATTAAAACCATGCAAAGAAGAATGGATGACCCAAATATAAACTAACAGTTTTTTCTTCGTATTAGGTTAGAATAATAACATTGAAGAATGACCAGTAATTCTCAGGTTTGGTTGCTTGATGTGAATGTCTTATGTATACAGCAGTACACTTAAATATCGATGGAAGCCAGACCTCAATAATTTAAACATTTTTATTACTTACTGACTTGCACGTAGCGTGGTCTTAAAAAGTCAATTATTCAGCTTGTAGCAGAAACTGAATGTCATACTGAAGTCAAAAACGTACATAGAAAAAGCTCACCTAGTACTGTGAAGGAAACAACAAATGCATGATTTGTCAGAGTTACAAAATAGGATACCATTAAAACTAACTGAACTAATTATAGCACTTTCACTTCATTGTCCCTGTGAAATATTGTCCACATATTAAAATTCATATTTCGAAGGCTCTTTGTCTCATCTTATTATTTATTTAACATGTTTCTTCCTAACTGGCCATCATCAGGCATGTAAGATTGTAGATGAAAACTGCTGCTCTGTTGTTACACTGTTATATTTTGCATTGTATGAGTAATGTAAAGTGCTTATAAAATATTTTAATTTTTTTTATAGATTATCATGCTGCAGATACTTCTGTTACATTGTATCTCTTGTGGCTCCATACAAATGAACACTAGTTAGTAGCCCACACACCCAACCCCCATGTATAAAAACAGAACCACTATATGAAATGGCCAGAACAGCTACACACAGCACAAAGGGAAAACCAACACACCAAAAACTGTAATATTACAATAACAGAGATAGAATAACATTATGTAACATAGCCATCTCTTAAATAAAACACTAGTGTAACCCATTATTACATGTTACAGAAACACCAGAACTGCATCATGTGTGCATAATAAAAGTAACCATGGCATGATAATCTAAAAAACAAGTTAAAATATTTTATAAGCATTTTACGTTACTCATAAAATGCGAAATACAGCAGCATAAAGAGAGCAGCAGTTTTTATCTACAATCTTATACACCTGATGATAGCTAGTTAGGCCAAAACATTTGTGTTAAACAAATAATAAGAGCCAAAGAGGCCTCAAAGTGTGAATTTTAATATATGAAGTTGCACAAAGACAATGAAATGAAAGTGCTAAAGTTGGAATGTGCCATGCAACAGAATGATGCAGTGCAATATTATGACTGAACTGGTACAGGATCAAGTCTGATACTTAGTTTTTATAATAGTACCGTTGGCCTTTCAAGTTCTGCCCTTGACTGTTATTATCAGGGAGTTCTGCTCTGTACATCAGCCATAAAGCCTGACATTTCTGAACCATATGAACCATATCATTTGTTTTTGCATGTAAATGGCCAGCTGCAGTGATTGTAGTAAGAGCTAAGGATATCCCTGGGTTTCATTAACCACTCAGCGCGGTTTGACGTGTATGTTTCATCAAGGGATTTAAATCATTCACGGGGGGGTTCGACGACTATGTATCGTCCAGCTGCACACCTATGTTATAACGCCCATAATAATTGATGGTTTTGCTGTAGATTGTTAGATTTTTCGCTGGCCTGTTGTCAGAAGAACAATATATATATGAAACATGAGTTTAGCTGTGTTGCGTCATCATTACCTATGCCTGTCTTGCAGCAAAGGGCGTGTTGCTTCGAAAAGAGATTTCATCATTCAAACTGTTATGAATGGCGTGTGTTCTTTGGTATGAAGTTATAAACAGCGGAGACGTGTTATGTGCTGTGTGAATAATATCATATTGCCCTGAGCAGGCCACACCAACCCACTCAATTAGAATTCTTAGAAGAGGGGTGTCCAGAAATTTGTTCTTGCAAGAGCAATTGATTTCGCACAGTACATAGCAGCCAGTTCTTAGAATAACATCACGAATTAAAGGCAGAACACTGTGGTCACCCCCTGTGATGATACGGGGGAAAAAAGAACTCATTCCTTCATGTATTATCGCTCCAGTTGACTCCATTTTATTGTACTGACCTTGGTGGTCGAGTCGAATGCCCAGAAATTTTGTGCTGCAAGCTAAGCTGCTTTTGTGAACTACATACCAGCCAGTTCTTAGAATAACTTCATGAATTCTGTGGTCACCCCTATGACATCTGCTGCAGCCAAAATGGATGGAATATGAAACGCATAGCACCAACCCCTTGTTATGATAACATAAAGGTTGAATTTATTGCAGCTGAGCAGGCAAGCTAAAGACACGTGTCTTCATAATTTCCATACACCAGGCCACCAACAGTTTACTTTGAAACTTTGAGTCCTACCATGGCTAGCCCTTCCACAAGTCATGCGCTGACGGAGGTCGAACAAGTGACCGTGCTGAAAGAAGTATTGGACGACGAAATCCTAAGTAATTATAGTTCCGATGATGAGAGTGCATCGGACTATGATTACACACAACTGGTGCCACCTCAGACCATCAGTGATAGTGAAAGGGACAGTGATCCTGAGGATATCATGGCCCAAGATGGATTGGAAGAGGTGTCCAGGAGATTTGTGTGGGAAGATATCGATTCGTTTCACGCTTCGCGAGAATCGTTTTGTGGTGTGTGTGGTCCCCAGTTCGACACTGCCGAACTAGATGTCGTCAGTGTTTTTGAAAGCATTTTCGATATTTCCCTTGTGCAGCTGATTGTTGATGAAACGAACAAGTATGCTCAACAGAAAATATCGAAAATCGCCAGACCTCTCACATTTCGCTCTAGGATTCGGAAGTGGGAAGATGTGACACTGGACGAAATGTACGTGGTTTTGGCACTAATTATGTTGACTGGCATTGATCAGAGGCCTACATTGAGGTCTTATTACTCAAAGAACCGCCTGCTGTTCACTCCGTTTTTTGCAGAGACCTTACCTCTGGAAAGACTTGAGGTCATAATGAGATTTCTGCATTTTTCGGACAACAGCAAGCAAAATGAGTACCAAGGCCCTTCCAAACTTTTCAAAATTTATCCCGTCATTCAGCACCTGAGTAGAAAATTTCAGATTCTCTATCTTCCAGGTCAGAACATTGCCATAGATGAATCCTTGACCCTATGGAAAGGTCGTCTGTCTTTCAAGCAGTACTTGCCACTCAAGGCTGCGAAATTTGGTATCAAAACGTTTGAACTCTGCGAGTCTAGTTCTGGTTATGTTTGGTCCTTTCTTGTCTATACTGGACAAGGAATGGAACTAACAAATCAGTATGTGACTGCAGAGAAAAACAAAACTACAGCAATTGTAGTAACACTCTTAGAAAATCTTCTGGGTCGCGGATACACAGTGTGGATGGATAATTTTTATAACTCCCCTGATTTGGCTCGTTTCTTGAAGTCTAAAAATACAGACTGTGTTGGAACCTTACATACCAACAGGAAAAACGTCCCTCCCTTAGTGAAAAATAAGAAATTGGAAAAAGGTGAACACTGTGCTCAGCACTCGGGAGACGTGGCAGTTCTTGCATGGCAAGACAAAAGAAGGGTGACAATGATATCCACATACCATAAAAACGATATGCGTGTGGTTGTTAATCGTGCAAACAAGCCAGAAATAAAGCCTGTGGTTGTTTGCGATTACAACAGAAACATGCTGGGGGTGGATCTCAAAGACCAGATGCTTCAACCGTACCTGCTTGAACGAAAGAAGGGTACCAAGTGGTACCTAAAATTATTCAAGCGGTTACTCAATGTAGCAATCCACAACAGTATGGTAATCTATCGGTCCCACCCAAACAAACAAAACCTGGACACTCTACAGTTCAGACTTTCCCTAGTTCAAGGTCTCGTGGAAAAGCACGGCTCTGGGGTACGTCGTCCTGTCCACAGCCGNGATAATTTTAGTGAAAGTTTCATGTTCCTATCTCATATAATTTAAGAATAATGACGAATAAATCATTTTTGAGCAAAATTTAAATGGGCGGCTGAAAATATTACCGTTGGAGAGACACGGCAGCGGAATTTAAATGACCGCGCTGAAGGGTTAATTACCATACCATGAAAACATATCGATGGGTGGAAGTATAGCTTCCTCAGTGGCTGTTGTATTTTTCAATGATTTGTTTCTTTTGTCATTTGGTCACTGTGATGTTTATATTTTACTCATTTGTCAAAAGAGAAGTTATGTGATCGCAAAGAAGTGGCTTGCATATTTCATCATCATCATATTCATCAAGTATTAGGCCAGGTGGCCTGTTATGGTTTCACTCCATCTTTTTAAAGGTCTTCCTAGCCTTTTACCATGTGGTTTATAGTGCAAAAGTTTATAGAGATTGTGTTAGAAACCATTGTTTCAATGTGGTCCTTTCAATTGCATGGTATTTCTGAATAAATTTAGAGATTAGTTCAACTTCAAAGTTTTTTAAAATTTCTCTGTTTTTTTTTTTTGATCCAGAAGTGTAAAACCAGCAATTTTCCTCATAAATTTCATCTCTACTGCTTGTAGCCTTTTTTTTTCCATCTGCCTTTCTAATTGTCCAGGCTTCACCTCCATATGTTAGCACTAGTCTTGCTACAGTCCTGTAAATGTCTTATCTTGTTGTACTAATGAGGGTTTGAAGACTTGGTTTATGACCCGTATTGTTTCAACAAATTTTAATATTTTTGAGGACATATCTTTTCCACCTTCATAAGACAGGTTTCAGCCTAAGTAGTTGAATGTGTTAATGGATGAATCATGGTGATATAACCATTCCATCCAAATTGGAGGAAATACCACCTGCATGAAGGCAGTCCAGAGGCTGAGGCGGTACCCCTTCCTACCACTGGACTTGCTGCCCTTCAGTCAGCAACTGATTGGCAAGACATATTTTGCTTTCAGGTTTCAAAAGTTTGTATATTTAGAGTTTAAAAATCTATTTCATCTGTTAAGACACAGCTTCAGATGTACAGGGTGATTCAAAATCATATGGCCAAACTTAAGAGGGTGCTGGGGAGATCATCTGGAGCAGAAAATGTAAATACATTGTTATTCAGTTCATTGTCCTTATTGCATGAGTGATAATATGTCACTTCATTTTATGAAAATGAAATAATTGTTCATTTGTCTATACATTCGGTTATTTACAATTATTATTAGTTTTAATTTCAATAAATATGAAAATAGTCTCTCTGAAGTTGTTATCTCTTTTCAGTTTGAATGTTTGTTTAACATACCTGATTAGTCTTGCGGCTTACCAATATTGTTCTTTGTATTCCTTCACAAGAACTGCTCGGAGTTCCCTCCGCCAAGTCAGACGCACAGTTCGTAGGGATGGTGAATCCAGTCTGACATGAACCAGTTGTCTGAGGTGGCTCTTAATGTATCTGTTTCAGCTATCTGGGTGGAACTGACCAGATCACTATGATCTTTTATTGCCACAGCATAAACATTTTAATTTTCTGTTACAGATTATTCAGTATTAAATACCATGAATTATTTATGGAAACTGTTTGGAACATATCGTGGAGTTTTGTATGCTCACCCGGTGTACACACAAGCTGTGCAGAGCAGTATTCTGATGGGATTAGGAGACATAATATCTCAAGCTGCATTTGAGGGTAGAGGGATTAAAGATATTGATAAAGGACGTGCCATCAGGTTTGCTGGTATTGGACTGTTTTTTACTGTAAGTTCAGAAGTGTCTTACATGCTGTACTAAAGAGTGTAGTAGGGTGTGATTATGTATATTAATTTGTCTTTTAATTAATTATGAATTTCACCATGTTGCCGCCTGCACAGTAATATGAAAATTTGTGTGAATTTGCAGAATTTAGTGAAGTTCTGAAAAGTACTTGTAATTGTTATCTGTTATGATGATGATATCACTGATCGTGCTGGGTTGCTCACTAGGCCATAAGACAGATATCTCAGGGTTCGTACATGGACTATTATCTCTCTCTCTCTCTCTCTCTCTCTCTATATATATATATATATACAGGGTGTCCCAGGAGGAATGTGCCAAACTTCGGGAGGGTGTTCCTTATGTTAAAGTATGCCGATATAACCCAAAACACCTATGTCCAAAGTTGAACGGTTACGGAGATAATGGCCCGAGAA